GAGACTAGAGCAGAGTCATGGGATAGCCAGGGTCATCAACAGTCGGGCAGCGCGGTACAGAATCAGAAGGAAAAGCCAGGGTCAGGAGCAGAGCCGAAGTCAGGAACCGGTATCAGGAGAGTAATCGAAGTCGAGTCGGGAACAAGCCGGGTTGGTAACGGAGGAATCGTACAGGAACAAGCAGGACACGGGGGGGGGGGAGCTGAAGACCAGTCAGCACTGAACCTGAGCAGAGGCACTCCTTAAATGGGCCGTCTGGCGGCAATTTTCACCGCGCGTGATCGCGCACACATGCGCACAACTGGTAACTCTTCTGCGGGAATTCCTATGTGCATGCGCGTTCCCGATCGCAATTCTTGCTGGTTCTGTAAGGGAAGTCCCTTACAGAACCAGTCCCGGGCCCGGAGATGGGTAAGCGGAGCCCGGGACATATAACGGGTGAGGAAGGGGGGGGGGGCGGCGGCTGGTGCTGTTACTGTGTGGAAGCAATTGGACGGCAGCGCTCCCGCCCGAATGCTTCCACCTGACATGTGCTTGCCCACAGCAGAGCTAAACATAAATAAAAACTTCCTGCCCGGCGCCCGGAACTACATGTCCCGGGCGTTGGACGATATAAAATGAACATCCCTGATATGACCCCCAGCACATTGCAGATGTATTTAGCGAGTATTACAGCTCTCTTTATAATCTGAGTCATGATACTCAAGTTTATCAACCCTCTTCGATTGATAAAGATAACTTTTTAACTGATCTAAATTTACCATAACTGTCTCCAATATAGGTTAAAAAATTAAATTCTCCCTTTTCACTACCTGAAATTTTGTAGGTTATAGATACACTATCTAATAATAAATCCCCTCTGTAAAACTTCTGATCCTTTTCTCTTTCATATTACTCTCCAACAAAACTGGCATATCTCTTAGGCCCTGAATAATAAAATGTTGAATTTATCTTTTTTACAGTTCCACATTCTAAACTTTGTTCTGTAATCTTTTTTATATATATACACACACATACAGTATCTCCCAGAAGTGAGTACACCCCACACCTCACATCTTTGTAAATATTTTATTTTATCTTTTCATGTGACAACACTGAAGAAAAGACAACCTCTGGAGATGACACTGAGCACGTGCACTCAGACCTCGACCATGGCGAGGTCTGTTCTGAGTAGAACCTATCCTGTTAAACCGCTGTATGGTCTTGGCCACCGTGCGTCAGCTCAGTTTCAGGGTCTTGGCAATCTTCTTATAGCCTAGGCCATCTTTATGTAGAGCAACAATTCTTTTTTTCAGATCCTGAGAATTTTTCGCCATGAGGTGCCATGTTGAACTTCCAGTGACCAGTATGAGAGAGTGAGAGCAATAACACCAAATTTAACACACCTGCTCCCCATTCAAACCTGAGACCTTGTAACACTAACGAGTCACATGACACCGGGGAGGGAAAATGGCTAATTGGGCCCAATTTGAGCATTTTCACTTAGGGGTGTACTCACTTTTGTTGCCAGCAGTTTAGACATTAATGACTGTGTGCTGAGTTATTTTGAGGGGACAGCAAATTTACATGTTATACAAGCTGTACACTCACTACGTCACATTGTAGCAAAGAGTCATTTCTTCAGTGTTGTCACATGAAAAGATAGAATCAAATATTTACAAAAATGTGAGGGAGATACTGTATACAGTTGTGACCAAAATTATTCAACCCCCACTGAAATTGTGTTTTGGCCAGTTTGACATTGCTTTTGATCATTCAGTCATCTTGCTTACATTTACATTAAAGAGGCACTTGTAGGTCAGACAAATATAACATAACAGTTATAATGAAATAACCACAAATGTCTTTTCTGTGCTCACAGCATTATCAGTTTTATTCAACCCCCAAGTGACATTTCAATCTTAGTACTTAGTACAGCATCCTTTTACAGTTATAACAGCTTTTAAACGTGAAGCATAGCTTGACACAAGTGTCTTGCAGCGATCTACGGGTATCTTCGCCCATTCTTCATGGGCAAAGGCCTCCAGTTCAGTCACATTCTTAGGCTTGCGCACTGCAACTGCTTTCTTTAAGTCCCACCAGAGGTTCTCAATCGGATTTAAGTCTGGTGACTGCGATGGCCACTCCAAAAGTTCCAGCCTTTCCTCTGCAACCATGCTCTAGTGGACTTGGAGGTATGCTTGGGATCATTGTCCTGTTGAAAGGTCCAACGTCTCCAAGCCTCAGGTGTGTGACGGACTGCATCACGTTTCCATCCAATATCTCCTGGTACTGAAGAGAATTCATGGTACCTTGCAACGCTGAACTGTACCTGCAGAAGCAAAACAGCCCCAAAGCATGATTGACCCTCCACCATGCTTCACAGTAGGCAAGGTGTTCTTTTCATCATGAGGCCTTGTTCTTCCTCCTCCAAACATAAGCGTTGATCCATGGGCCCCAAACAGTCTAATTTTGTTTCATCAGTCCACAGAACACTATCCCACAACTTTTTGTGGTTTGTCCACATGGCTTTTGGCATACTGCAGTCGACTCTTCTTATTCTTTGGAGACAGCAAGGGGGTACGCCTGGGAGTTCTGGCACGGAGGCCTTCATTACGCAGTGTGCGTCTTATTGTCTGGGCTAAACTTCTGTACCCACATCTGACAAATCTTTTCTCAGTTCCTCAGCAGTCACACGGGGACTTCTCTCCACTCTACGCTTCAGGTAGCGCACAGCAGTCGAAGTCAGCATCTTCTTTCTGCCACGACCAGGTAGCGTTTCAACAGTGCCCTTTGCCTTGAATTTGCGAATGATGCTTCCTAAGGGTCTCTTGGTATGTTTAACATCTTTGCAATCTTTTATAGCCATTGCCCTTGTGAAGAGAAATCACCTCTTCTCTTGTCTTCCTGGACCATTCTCTTGCCTTCACCATGTTTGTAACCACACCAGTAAATGTCTAGAAGGAGCTGAGTACGTCATTTTAAAGCTGCCTAATTGGTGCTTATTATGCTTGATTGCTGCTCGTGACATCCACAGGTGTTTTCAATACCTGATGGAAAGCACCTGTATGAACCTCTGTTCTTCAGAGTGGTAGTCTTTAAAGGGTTACAAAAATTGTGCAATGAAGAAACCACATAAGAACCATTTACTACTGTATTACATAAACAATTGATGTCATTTTAGTTGCATTTGGGTAGTTACAACTTGTAGGATTTGATTCTGAATACAACTGTACACTATATCCCTAAACCCCTTTACAGCATTGGGGGTTGAATAATTTTGGTCACAACTGTATATATATTGCACAGATAGAACTGTAACATCGCATGGTAGTTTACTCTGATTATCTACTTTTACTACCACCTATCAATTTTGGTCATCTATAGCATACTGTATACTTAATTGATAATGATGGTTTTCATTAGATAGAAGTGCCATCCACTGTGTTCCTGTTCTTACAGTTTGCGACTGTATATTTTCCCTTTGAATTGTTTTACTATAGTTTGAAAACTATAAAATGTATTGGAATTAAAAAGGCCTCCAACTGAAATTGATACATACTGTAGCACAGTACAGCCTTCTTAGAACAGAAGTCATTCTCACATTTCTCATTCCATCACATATACCAAAAAAGCAAGAGCATCATTCATTTCAATTTAGCTAGCGGAGCAATGAAAACCATTCCTTTATGCCCCAATGACCAACTGCACGTCCAGAACCACTGGTGTATGATACAGATACAGCCTAATATAATACTTCTAATTGTTTCAAACTACATAAGGCTGTTGGCCATCATCAGTGCAGTGTATGGAATCATTGGCTTCTTTGGAGGCGGGCCAATGAGAAATTCTAACCATGAACACTATAGTAAGTATATTCATACACACTTCATGTGGTTATATTCCTACATGAAATGTGCATGAAAAATATCTAGCAGCGATCAAATAGACCCAAAAAATACTAGAAAAAAAATCAGAATTTTATCAACATTAGTGCTTAGCCGGCCTACATTCAGACACTGAAGTTTACCCCCCCCCCCCAAAAAAAAATAAACGCAGTTATTACTAAATTCACCTTCTGCACACTGGGACCAGTGCATGAATTTGTATATGCATCAAAGCCATATAGTGAACACTGCAAGAATACGATCTTTTTTGTACATGCTCAGTGCCAGATTGGGACAAGACAATACACATTTAAGATGCAGTAAAATGCTTAGTAGGAACATGTTTTTACTTTGACTTGCATGAAGTTTCCACAGGTTCATGTTATGTTTTATCTATGCATTATGAGCATACGCAGTTGTCACAGCTTTATTATACACACTGCACAGAAAATACAGAACCAGCTGTGTTGTGTTGAAATGAGATTGTTTAACAGATTTGATTCACTCATAGTGCGATGTTTATAAATATACGCTCAGACATGAGATAATCATCATCTGACCAGACCTAAGATAACACTAATGCAGGGAATATGAGGCTGCCCTTCTGCCCTCCTCCATTTATATTAAATGTGCACCCTTGGGTGAAACAAGCATGCGTTATTCATCAGCTAGAGTTTGGCTACCATATAATGTCTGGTGCCAGCTAGTGGAGGGCTGGCTACTTATGACATGGGAGCAACCAAAATTGAAAAGCTTCTTATACAGAGGCATCAAAATTTTGCTTACAACAGAAATATTGTGGGAAATTAAAAAGCATACCAGCCATAATAGGTTCCTGTTAGATAGACATTGTTGTGACATTTTTTTCCATCCATGGAAAACTATAGTGAATAAATCTAAAAAAAAACTTTATGATGCCTAGTAATTTGAAGTAGACAAATATATGGTTCCTAGAAACAAAGACTGCTTAATGTACCAATCAGGCTGGAATGGAAGAAGGCCTATGACTGTTTTAGTGGCAACTCTCGCCACCACTCTTGTTCACTAATCATCTATCTCTGCATGCTCTGCATGAATTGCTTTAATTTCTTAAGATTAATTATCTCTCAAAATGTCCTTTATTTTCACCCTCAGTATTATGATGGCACATTCCCCGCTCTTATGGAACAGAGAGAATTTGAAAGAAGGATATTCCTTAAGACGCAAAGAACTGAAAGTAAGAAACAGCCGCCATGTGTCAATGTGGGTGTCCTGACAGATAGACATTCTCTTGACCTAGAGAAATTTTTATCTCAATATTAAACAGAATTTACTGATGTAAAATGACCTTGCTTAAAGTTACATTTAAAGTAGATCTAAACCTATTTCCTGAATCGTGTATAAGCTGTGTCACTTATTAAAAACAGCAGCCCTGTAAAGAGCATCTATATTTACCTTTCTGGTGGCCCATGGCTTAAAGTGCTGCTGCTGCACTGCTTTTTAGCCACTGTAGGTATTCAGCCCTTCAGGGTGAATCAAAAACCTGTCCCCCCCGCCATACACAGTGGCTTCTCCCTCCGACTTAAACCCACCGGACACTTTATTAGGTACACCTGTTCAATTGCTTGGTACCACAAATTGCTAATCAGCCAATCACATGGTAGCAACCCAATGCAGTTAAATGTGGTGAAGACAACTGTGCGTGAAAATCCCAGTAGATCAGCAGTTTTTTAAATACTCAGACCAGTCCGTCTGGCACCAACAACCATGCCACGTTCAAAGTCACTTAAATCCCATTCTGATGCTCGGTTTGCACTTCAGCAAGTCTTCTTCACCATATCTAGATGCCTAAATGCATTGAGTTGCTGCCATGTGATTGGCTGATTTCCAATTTGTGTTACCAAGCAATTGAACAGGTGTAATTAATAAAGTGGCCAGTGAGTGTATATATCCTGTAGTAATGTTAAAGCCAGCAGGAACCACTGTGTGCTTTGGAGGAGCAGTTATTGACACACTCAGGAGTGTAAAACACCTCCAACTGCCAGGGAGCAGTTAATCAATAGTGTATCAAGACAAGAATAGATGTTCCTTATTATAGTATGTACTCTCCAGCGCCTCAGGATATGCACAGCCAAAAGGGAAGCCAAGGGTACCAGGACAGCGACAACCAAAGGAAATGTTCCAGGGGTGCAGCCCTCCTCAGACGGAGAAATCAGCCACTGGATAGAGAGAAAACAGGTGGCGCACACACCTAGTGCATTATCCAAGGTTTATTGTAGGAATGAAACAATAAAAACATACTCACAGACGAAGCATGTATCTAAAAAGCATAGAAAAATGACAATGGCCACAACGGCGGGCAAGGTGTTCTCACGGTCAGTGAGGTCAAATGGCTGACGCATCAACAGCGAGGCTCTTTCTTTCCATACATCAGCATTAGAAGTTGGTCATCAGCTCTGAGGAAAGGGATTCGTCCCCGAAACGCGTCAGACATTTGACCGCACTGACAGAACACCTTGCCCGCTGTTGTGGCCATTGTCATTTTTCTATGCTTTTTAGATACATGCTTCGTCTGTATGTTTTTATTATTTCATTCCTACAATAAACCTTGGATAATGCACTAGGTGCGTGCGCCACCTGTTTCCTTATTATAGGGCTGCTTTTCTTATAAGTGACCCTGTGGTTTAACATAGTAATATAATTTCTGTTGTTTTCAATATGTAAAAATATGCAGCTTTCATTAAAAGAATACCTGGTGATCCAACAATGAAAGTCCTTGTTCAGTGTAATTAAGTGACAGTTGTCTCAGAGTTGTCACCCTGTGATTTGCAGCTTTGCAACTGCAAAATGCCAACACACATTGCACAAGCATGGCCAATCGTTGTCATGATCAGGAAACTGGAGAAAGGCTGAAGGCGATCAGATGATGTAGCACTGAGATGCAGAAAAGGGTTAAAAAATGTATTTTATAAAAAAAAAAGGCAGTTGTTTATGACAAACCGTGCTCTAGCAATCCAAATGTCATCCAGTAAGGGGTTAGATCTACTTTAAAGAAGAACGCTACAGAGCACTGTATAAATGCACACACACACACTGACACACAGTATATATACAGGGGGTGGACAAAAAAAATGGAAACACTACATGATTTGCAGGTGTGAACATGAAGACATGTTTTGCATTGAAAGCGTAAGTGATGTAACATTCTTTTTCTTCCACTTTGTGATGAGACACCTAGCTAACAGGTGGGAAGCCTCACTTTCGTCATTCACTGTGTGCACTGCTAATAATACAGAGTCATGTCAGAGCTTACTGATCATGAAAGAGGGCAAATTGTTGGTTTGCGCTTAGCTGGTGCCTCTGTGACTGAAGTTGCCAGTTCATTTGCGGTGTTACGAAGTACAGTATTAAAGGTTATGACAGCATATACAGTTTCCAGGAAACCGTCATCTGGTAAGCATAAGAGACAAAAGGACATTGTGCAGGATTGTGACCTGGAATAAGAAAACAACTGCTGCAAAAGTGACTGCAGAGCTCAATCTTAATCTTTCAAAGCCCATGTCCACAGAAACTGTGCGGAGGGAACTTTATAAGCAAAACATTCACAGGCGACCTGCAATTGTCAAACCACTAGTGACCGATATTAATGCTCAGAAGAGGAGAGAGTGGTGCAACACCCATAAATCATGGATTATCGATCAATGGAAGACTGTAATATGATCCAATAAATCAAGCTTCACTCAGTTCTCACAAATGAATACGTATGGCGAACACCGTCTTAAGCTTACAACCAGGACTGTCTTGTGCTAATGGTAAAGAATGGTAGTGGCGGCCACCAAATGGTTTGGGCAGCCATATCTTGGTATTCTTCAGGGCCCATCATCACCTTAAAAGGTAGAGTCACTGCCAATGACTATGTACAACGTTTGGCCGACCACATGCACCCAATGGTGCAGAAATTGTTTCCCAAAGACAGCACCATTTACCAAGACGATAATGCTTCTATTCACACAGCTCGTGTTGTCAAACCATGGTTTGACGAACATGCAGACAAAGTTTGCACCTTCCCAGAGCCGTAGTCGCTGGACCTCAGTATCATAGATCCACTATGTTCAATTTTGGTCAAGGTTCAGGCTTGTTTTCTGCATCCGGCATCTCTACTAGAATTGGGGCAATTTTTGCGTGAAGAGTGGTATTATATTCCATTGTCCAATATCCAAGACTTATTATGTCAATTTCCAGGAAAATTCAGGCAGTGTTGGATGCCAACACCATATTAGGTAACTATTTTGTTCTACCTGGTGTTTACATAAATTTGTCCATCCCCTATATATACACAATATATTTACAGTATATAAAATTATTTTTTTAAAATACAAATAATAAAGTATCAAAAGGAAAGAGTAAGAAAAAAGAAAAACTTGGGGTAACTCAATTGCTCTAGCATGTTTGCCTAGGTGAGAATGACATCACTGGGTTTTCTCGTGGGATCCTGGGAAAGCTTAGGATACCAAATTCTATGAGAATATGCTCCTATGCTGTGCAGGATTTGGTTTTCATAGGATTTGGGATCAATTTTTCCAGGACCTTGTGAGAAGGCCTTGTATTTGGATGGTTATTTTTTTTTACTATAACATAACCTTTTTATTTGGGCTGTGGTGGGCTAGCTAATACACAGACCATGTATTGTTATTCTTTTTCCACCCACCATCTGTATATAAATGTTCTTCAGCACAATTCCCCATGTTGGGGATATTTCTATAAACCTTTTTCCACCAACAGAGCCACCAGCCCCGATTTAGTGCATCTGGTGGCTCTGGAAGCCTGGCTATCACTGACAGCTTAAGTCTCCACTGATGATCAGGAAATAATCAGTATTAATTCCCAATCATGCAACCACTAGTGTTTGTAAAGCAGGAGGGCCATTCCTTGTCCCTATGCTTCACATTGATTTCCTATAGGACTATGTTATACATAAATACACAGTTCTCTCTGTATTCCTCAGATGAAGTGATACTTGTGGATGGGGTTACAGTACTGTGCCAGCGGTTGACAGACATCATGTGCTACATTATTGGTGGACCTGATGAGAATGAAGTAAGTTACGCTGATAGCTTTTTGTAGCTGAAAATTTATACTTGCTGCTATTATGGAGAAAGATTTGTATTTAACTAGATTTTATATTGGCTTTTTTTTTCCTAGAGCTAAAAAATATAATTCATACATTCTCACAGAAGAACGCCGTCCTTATTCATCAAACCCATACTAATAATACTTACATCGAGTTAATCAATTTTACATATTGATGAGGCCTTGGACAAATACTATATATTCCCTATAAGGTCCCCTTCACATTAGTTTGTTACTGTAGTGCATTGCGGTAGCATGCTGTGCCATTAATTTTGCATGGCACCTCAACACACTGTTATGGTAGCAGTGCACATGGTGTGCATTGGGATGTGCTGCGCTAAACACGCTAATGTGTGCTGCCAGCTCATTCATGATAAATGGACTGCCTTACCTGCAGTGCACCTCAACACAACACAAAGCTTAATAAAAAGAGGGCCATAAAGTGTATGCAAGGCCTACATTTTTTTGGGGGTGGGGGGGGGGGGTTGGACAGAATGTGGAAGGTTTAGGACCCCTGCCTAGTTTTTATTTCTTGAATACAGGAGGAAAATTCCCTATATCTTGGGTAAGAGATGCTTGCTAATACAATTAAACAAATATCAATACAAAATAATTTGAAGGATACACTACTTCCAAGTATAATATTGATATGGGACATTTCAAGATGTTTGGGTAGCGCTTCAAAAAATATGAAAATACATTATTTAAAAATTATATATATATTTATGTAAATAGTACAGGATGCCATAGTTGGGTCCTGAACAGCAGGTATATTTTCCCCACTATTTGGGTTGTGGTCCTTTTAAGGTGGATTTCAAGGTATGTGGAGTATTCAGGGGTTCTAATACATGCGGGGTGAGGGCTTCTGGGATAGTTTGGCTAGAAAGTAGAGGACTGACTTTCAGTACTCTCTGGATTGCTAAGTTCTTATTAGGGACTCGGAATTTCAGAGGTTCAAAGTGTTCTGGGTGTCTGAGTACAGGGACTGTGGCCCCGAAGAGGTTACCCAATCGGCATAAAAGGAAGAGGAATCAGTTGTCACCTGAGCCACAGTTCCTGGCTGTGAAAGCCTCATCTTTGGGACCCCTGGAGCAGATAGAAAACCTAAAACTCCAGTGTGCAACCAGTACAGTGGCAGTGCACTTTTATCTTGCTCTGTGCCATTGAGTATGGACTTTTTGTGTTCTTCTGCTGAAGTAAGCTATTTTGTTTTTGGACTGTTTGCATTTTCAAATAAAGACTGTCATTTTTTTTTTACAAGTGGCTGGTGGTGATCCTGAACTACCATATGAAAATTCTGTGCTCAAAAATGAATTTTCTTTTGTATATCTAAATTAACAACACACATGTAGGCTCCATGCACATTGGGCTTTAAAAAAATGCCAGTTCCCTTGGCAGAAAAGAATGCTCATATAGTGCAGTTTTGTACACATGGTTAGCATTTTCTTTCTGCCAGAAAGCTGCTCTCAAAAATGCAAACCAAAAGTGCTTTTTTCTGCTGCTTCTAAACACTGAATTTAAAATATGCCCCTAAATGTCCTAATGTGCTAATGTGCATGGATACCTAGGATAACATTGAGCTAAAGGCAAAATACAAAACTCCTGTAGAAGCGGTGTTCTTTTTTTTTTTTCTTAAGCCCAGTGTACATGAACCCTTAAAAAAATTTAAAAACATGCAAATACAGGTCCCTTCATTTTGTCCAGGACAATATAAAGGAGAAATAGAGTGAAAATTGTATTTTGCCTGTGCAGTGGGACTGTGCCCACACTGCATGGATTAATTGCTTGATTTGCTGTAGGGGAGAGAACAACAGAGATATACTCACCTGACCTGCCGTTTAAACCTCCCTGCACAAGACCGGACCCTTCAGCTCCTGCCTCCCCCACGGTCCAGCGTTCACTACGTCAGCATCAAAGCACACTCCACAGACAGGAACAGTCCACTGCTGAACCGTTTTTTTATTTGAGGGTCGGTGGGTCATCTTTGTGCTCACTTCTAGAAATAACGAGAGCTGATCCATGCAGTGGAGGCACAGTCCCACTACATGGTGCAAAAAATGTTTTTGACTGGAGTTCTGTTTAAAAAAACAAAACAAAAACCGGCAATTTGTATTATTATTATATATAAACCAACACTTGAGCTCAGATTTTAAACAACAAAAATAAATAAAAGCAGCTTGCATATGTACAGGCAATATTATGATGTAAATGAAGAAAATGCAGCGCTAGTTATATAATAATCTTATGTCACTTTAAATAAAGTCCATATAAGTTCCCAAGTGAATCGAAGCAGGTGCAGAAAGGGAAAAGTTTGATCCAAAAACTGTCACCATACACCCGAAACAGATTGGCCTCTTACCAGACAATTTGACCGTACAAAGTCGGTCAACATGCGCAGTGTGATATAACACCGTGTAGCCTCGGTGTGTGATGTCATCCCGCTCTGGAGGGACGGTGGCCATCTTGTCAGTTAGAAACATCTTGTTTTACCATGCTGGTTATCTCTTATATTCTGATGTACATGGAACCTAAATAAATGTATCAAATTAGATTTTAAATACTACACTATGAGTGGCCTTTTCTCTCTATTCATTCCCTGACCATCGGATGGGAGTTTTTGCCATTTGGAGATCATTGAAGGTGAAGTTACTTTTCATTCTGGAGGGGATCTTTATTGACGATCGTTTTCTGTATTGATGTTATATCACACTGCGCATGTTGACCAACTTTGTACGGTAAAATTGTCTGGTAAGAGGCCAATCTGTTTCGGGTGTATGGTAACGGTTTTTGATCGAACTTTTCCCTTTATGCACCTGCTTCAATTCATTTGGGAACTTATATGGACTTTATTTAAAGTGACATAAGATTATTATATAACTAGCACTGCATTTTCTCCATTTGCAATCTTATATATCCCTGTAAGTTTTAAATAAAAACGTGTTTTCCTCAGTTATTACAATTCTCAAAGTCTCCAGATAGTTAGGATTTCTTAGGCTAATTCCCCTCCTGTTGGATTCAAAAGAAATCAATAACTGGATAAATGTAATGAAAAAATTGCGGGATGAACCTGCACAATTCTGCCCGCGATTTCAAAATGCGCTGTTAAAATGTGAAATCGCACATCACTGCGTTTAAGTGCCATTCATTTCAATGGCACCTAAAAACGCAGAGCGATTTTCATGCTGCAATCGTGCAAATAAAATCGTGCGACACGTGATGTCCAAAAGCAGTTCCAGAACTTCTTTAGGCGGCACGCGGCAAAATCGACCCACATTTTTAGGTGTCGTTAATTTCAAGCGACACGCTTCTAGCACAAAGACAGGTATGCAAATATGCGGCCCATGGAAAAAAATCCCAGTTCTGTGAGGCCGCATATCTGTGTGACATCAGCATGAAGGGGTTAACCTTATTCAAAATATCAGCAGGTACATTTCATGCAGATCCAATTTTGATATCACCATGGACAACAACAAGAAGTAAGTAACATTAATAAGTCTTTAGTCCTATCTGGGCGTCAATCCAAAACCTTCTTCTGTTAGATTAAGGGAGGAAAATAATTATTCAAATATACATTTCAAAGAACATGTAGAAATTGCAACATAGTTACACATCAAGGCATTTCACAAAATGCATTGGGGTTGATTTACTAAAGGCAAATAGACTTTGCAAAGTGCAGTTATTTATTTATGGTACTTCTATAGCGCCGTCAATTTACGCAGCGATTTACATACATATATAGCTCACATTCATACATACACATACTAGGGTGAATTTAGACAGGAGCCAATTAACCTACCAGCATGTCTTTGGAGCAACTGCACTTACAGAGTGTAACTGCACTTTGCAAAGTGCACAGTCTGTTTGCCTTTAGTAAATCAATCCCGTTGTCCAAATATTTGCAGATGAATTTGAAATCACCATGAACAACAGCATTAATAAGTTTGTATCAAAAATGTTTTTAGATTTTAATCCGGTAGTGGCTGTCCTATTATGTTCCATATCAGCAATATATATATATTTAATTTTACACATTTAGCTAGTAAATACACACTTTTGATGTGAGGCTCAGATCACCTTGTAGACCAACTGAATAGACATGCTATGCACTGCTGTCGAGCAACTGCTGTACCATTGTGACAAAAAGGCAGTTGTGTTAGGATTTACAAATTTAGGCACATTTAATGATGTTCAAGCATATAAATTATACATTTTTAAATGTACATCACCAAGTTCTCTTGTATGCTTCGAACGCAGTATGCCTGATGTGTGAAGCAAACTCCATCTACAGTGTATTGTAGATGTCTGTCCTGGAAGATTATAAGAGGCATATGATGGTTCTAGCACTGATTGGGGGTTATTTACTATAACTGGAAAGTGCAAAATCTGGTGCTGCTGTGCATAGAAACCAATCAGCTTCCAGGTTTTAGCCCTGTTCACGCTGATGCGATTAGTCCTGTGATTTGACAGTGTCAAATCACATAAGTCGCACCCTATGATTGGCAATGGAACAATTCTGATTTGAAAAGTCGTGCAGATGTCTTCCAAGTTGCACCTGAAGTTGCACTGCCATCTGACTTTGAAATCGTGCGACTTTAAGTGAAGTTGCACGATTTCAAAGTCAGATCCTGTGTGAACCTGGGCTTATTGTCAAAGAAAAGGAAGTTGGAATCTGGTGCAGGCATGCATAATAGTCAATCAGCTTCTGAATGCTCTAGTTTTGGTAAATATCCCCCACTGAATGCCTGGGTGATCTACACATATGCATGAAGTAGATAGAAATACAGTGGATGAGGCATTTAGATACTCATAGGAATTGACACGAAAAACCAGATCAAAAGGTACAATTTATTGCATGTCCAATATTTTAGCAGGATGCAGCCTAACTTTATCAACGCAAACAGCAATTGCTGTTTGCCTTTATTAAGTGTCTCTCTTTCTCCCTCAAGAGATATATATATACAGTATAT